AAAAAGGGGAGGCAGAAGCACGTGAAATCAATCGGTTTAATAGACAGTCTTGAGCTATATTATAAAAAATTAATAAAAATCAATTAATATATTTATATTTTTAAATAATATGTAGTGTGAAGAAAACTTGTACGAAATATTGTTAAATAAAACCTAAATCCCTCAATCGCAATTTGCAAAAGGTTAATGTTAAATTTAGTCCCTCAATTTTATAAAATACACATTTTGGTCCCTCAATAATGTTTGCACTTTTTTGGTCCCTCAACTATACGAAATGCACTCTGTTAGTCTTTTTGTCAATTTGGGCCTTAACTCTACTATGTGGCATTTTTTATATATATATTTTTTATGACATGTCAATGACATGGAGAAAATAATCTAAAAAGATACTGATATGGACAAAACATTATGCCACGTAATATTATCACAAATCAAATGCACTAAAACCTGCAAAGAACTATGAACCCTAGAAATGAAAATCGAAACTCTGTTATCGAACCCAGTTACTGTTTTCATTAAAGCCATTGAGTTTATCAAGGCAGTAGATCTCATCAAATCAAATTAACCATTCAATAAACAATATCAATCAAACTCTAATCCAATTCCAACAAAAATGCAATCAAATTGTAAATTAACTCCCAAATTTATCAAAAACTAGAAATGAAAATCGAAAGAAGACTGAAAAATTATGAACCCAACGTCAAAACCCAGCCTCGACGAAACCAGCAAGGTAGGGTTCGCATGACCAGCAAGGCTGGATTTTGATGAACCTAGCAAGTCTGGGTTTCGATGAACCCAGCAGCTGAGTTTTGACGAATCCAGCAAGGTTGGGTTTAGGCAACCAGCAAGGCTGGGTTTTGACGAACCCAATAGCTAGGTTCATCTTGCTCGAACCCAACAGCTAGGTTCATCTTGCTCGAACCCAGATCTACGAGGTTTTCTTCATTTTGCTTAAACCTAGATCTACAAGGTTTCTTCATCTTGCTTAAACCCAGATCTTGCTCAAACCCAAATTTTACAAAAAAAAAAAAAAAAAGGAGAAGGAGAAGCTACCAGAGACAAGGAGAGGGAGGGAGAAGTTGTCGAAGTTTAGAGTTAATGAATAAAGGGGAGAAAAGAGGAAACCAAGGGAAGAAGATGAAGTTAAGGGCATTTATGTGATTGTGAAGTTTTTATTATTTATTAAATGAAGTGGGTAAAGTTTATTTACAACGTGGCATAAGTTTTAGTCCAAATAAGTATATTTTTTTACTTGTATTATCCATGTCATTAAACAAAATATAAAAAATGCCCCATGAGTGGACTTAACGGCTCAAATTGATGGAAGAACTAATGTTGTGCATTTCTTAGCGTTGAGGGATCAAAAAAATATAAAAAATTATTAAGGGATAAAAAAAATGCAACTCTATAGAATTGAGGGATTAAGTTTAACATTTAACCTTTGCAAAAACCGGATAAAAAAAAATCATTAGCTCGCCTGCCTAGGCAACCGAACGCAGCCTGAAACTAAAACAGTCTGAAACTAAAAATAAGTAGAGCTCATTTCGTGTGAGTGGAGTTTTCAATAGAAATTTTATTGAAAAAGATTTATTGTAAAAATATTATTTTTAAGAAATTAAAAATGTTTAGTAAAATTTTTTATAAAAGTATTTACAGAATAAAAAGTTATTTAATAATTTTTTTATAAAAAATCTTTTAATCCAATATGATACTAAAATAATTGAAATAGATATTTTTTACTTAATCACCTCTTCTACTTTATTTTTTTTCATATTTTTATATAACTTTAATTTATAATTAGTTTAAAGTTGATTAAAAATTAATTATTTATATTTTAAAATACAAATATTAAATAAATGCTTATATTTTAATATTAAAAAATAAAATATATTACATTTAAGTCACATAAATAAAACAATTAAAATTAAAACTTATGCTAAATAAGTATCTTGATTGATTTTCCGTTAAAAATAAAGTTATGAAATCTCAAAGTAAAATCACATCACATGATGTACTAAAATCACCTTAACAAGTGTATTAGTCGCTCCAAATAATATAATGATAAAGATTGTGTGTAATTAAGTATCAAAATAATTAATCTGAATTTATTTGAATAATTGAGAAGAGGGAATTTTAATTAAAATAACAAAAAAAAACTAACAGTTAAAATAAAACTAACCAAGATATAACGTACTAAAATATTGACTTCACCATAATCAATCAATATAAATTCTGGATTAATATGTTTTCAAAACTAATTTGTTAAGTGTTATTGAATGTGATAGCGGATTTTTCTAAATTAATTAACTAACTTTCTCAAGTCAAGTTAATATTGCACTGATTTGTTAAATTAATCATATTTCTATATAATTTTAAACAAACTAATGAGCATTAATGGCCCGTTTAGTATAGCGATTTTGGGGTAGCAATTAGCGATTTCACATAAACCGCTAAATATAGGTGTTTGATAAATTTATATATTTTGAAATCGCTACAAATAAAATATTTGGTAAAATTTTTATTTAGCAGTTTGAGACTAACGGATAACGGTTAGGGTCCAAACCATTAGCGGATTGAAAAAGCTAATTTATGTAACTTTTTGTATCAAACCACTAGCGGATTAAAATTTTTTAATTTTATTTACAAATTTATCCATTTTAATTTTTTAATTTGTGGTCACATTTTTTAATTAATAATTATCTAATAAATTTCAATTTTATTTTTTTTACCTTT